AGCTGGTACTTATGGAACATTTTATTTTTGTAACTGTGAGTGTGTGGTGGTAAAGGACCCAGTATCCACTGGCACAGTGGGTACTGCTGCCCGGATCTCTGGGAAGGCACCAGGCATTTACCTACTGATACATCAGTGCCAATGCCAATACAGCAAGGAGGCATACAATGTCTGAGGACTTTTCTGAAAGTTGCATTGACCTCATGGACCCCTTAGGGAGCATGGACTACACTTTGAGGAAGGCTGCTGTGGTTTTCATTCAACAGTGCAAGTTGCCTGTGGACCAGCTCCTGGGAAAGATGCTCAACTCCATAACCTCCACATGTACTCAGATTTTGCTTATCTGATGGTAACAAAAATGAGCAGTTTACATGTATTAGATTTCTACCATGCGCCAGGAATTGTATGCCAAGACCCTGTACCATCAGGTCTCCACCTTGGAAACTGGAAAATTTAAATTTGGGAAATTTAAAAGAGATGTTTTATAAAAATGTGAGCAGAATTCAGGTAAACCAACAAGAAATAATAAAAGATCTGGGTCAAGAGGCCCTATGCATGGAAGAGTGAGGGGAAAGCATGGTTCCTAGCATGAGGGGGGACAGCCCTCCAGGAGCTGTGACTTTAGGAGAAGCATGAGCCAGCCTGCTGTGACTTTCCTAGGAGCCGGGAACTAAATACTCCGGCCCCTCTCTCCTCCTACCCTCCAATCCCTGCTGGATAAGCCCAGCTGGAAGCCAATGGGATCTGGGTCACAGGGCCAGGTGAAAGAGGGGAGAGAATGGTACAGAGGGATGAATGCAGGCTACTTAGTTGACACTGAGCTTTATTTATATGCTCTCATGTAATCTTACTAACCAGTGAAGTAGTGCACCTGCTATTCCCATCTTATAGATGGCACATGGAGGCTGGGGAGGTAAAGCAATATTGGCCAGGTCTGGATTTGAAGGGAACGCAGACCTCATAGCCTCTATGCCATACCTCCTGGTAAACAGGCAAGCAAAGACAAGGGAACATGGGTTTCCTTTAGTGTTCTGCTTCCATGGACTAGTTGGACAACTAAAGCTATGTGCTGGGGAACTGTTGTTTCTTATTTACCAGATTCCAAGCTGCCTTCCTGTTCTTCCCATGTACCATTCTTCTGGCCAAACACTCTCTGGACAGGGCAGGAACTTAGTCCAAAAGTCACAAACACATCCCTCAAGCAGCTGGGGCGTCACTGTTGGGACCCACAAGGAGCTCTCTCACCAGCTACCCTTCACCCTGGCTGACCCAGAGACACCCTGCCAGGATTCCCTGTGTGTTTTGATATGTAAAACAACCACCATCACCAAACAAATTCAGACTGCATGGGGGAATGAAAAATTCAGAAAAGTTGGAGACTTCATAATTCATTCCACTGCATATTCCTTTTTGTCTTTTATAATGACTATATTTAAGATAGGATGCAGAGTTCCTAGAACATTCTAGAAACATAAAGATTTAAAGTTCCAAACTAGGCTCTTTTTCAAAGCCATCAGATGGTTTCCATGGTTTAAGATTTTTCTGATATAGGTATATGCTCAAATAATTAAATCTTGTCAAAAACACTGTATAATCCAATGTGTCTGCTCTCTGTCAAGGTGAAGGCCGTTTCTCTGATGAATGGCCTGCTGCTTTGGATTACCAAACATATTTATTTCAATCTGTTTCATGCACACTTTTGCACTAGCTCATACCCCATAAGCACAGCATTCAGATGTCTATCAGAGCAAGGCTGACCCCTGTGGGCTGTCTTACCTTGTTCCCTCACACTTGGCTTCAGAATGAGCTTAGCAGAAGACTGAAGCAGGAGGAGAAAGAGGCTGGGATATCTGTCCCTGTTCCCCCTGCTCTGCAGAGGTGGCAGCCCTCCAGGACTACAGCGGCCCTCCCCAGGGTCCAGGTCTAAGGGGCTCCTTGACACCTTCTACCCTGAGACCTGTAGGCCTCTGGGTGGTCATGGCTTCCCTCTTAGTTACTTTCTCATTTCTGGGACAAAGTATCAGATAACCACAAGGGGGAGTTTTCTTTCAGCTCACAGTTTGTAGAGGTTTCAGTTTATAGTCAGCTGGCTCCAAGGCAGGGTGTCATTGGCAGTGGGGCATCGCAGAGGAGAAACAGCTCATGGTGTATCAGGCAGGAGGCAGCCAGCAGCAAGCCTTCCTTTCCCTTTTTATCCCATTCAGGATACCAGGCTATTGCTTGGTGCCACACACACCTAGACTGGGCTTTCCCATCACCTACACCCAGAACTATGCTAATCCAGTCAGTGGACTAATCCAGTTATCACCCACCCATGATCTAGCCATTTCCCAAAAGCCCCATTGTGAGTTCTTGAGGCTTAGGGGCGGGGGGAAAGCTAGATATAAACCATTACCCTGGGTGCCAGAAGAGTCTTCAGTGGGTCCCTTAGCCTGCACACATGGCTCTGAGCAGTAGGTATCATTACAGTATCCACAGGTGAACCACCTGAGGGAGAAACTGGTTCTAGAGAAGCTCAGAGTTTAGCAAAGGCTAAATGGCGGCTGTGGACAGAGCTAGAGGGGACTCCTCACTATGGTGAAGAGTGGGGGAAGGTGGAAGATCCTACAAGGTGCTGTCCTCCCCTGCTGGCTTACAAGTACAGTCTCTGTACTTATTCGGAGTACCCATGGATTCCAAAATCAGAGGATGCTTAAGTCCCTTATGTAAAATAGAGAAGGATTTGTGTATAATCTATATACATTTCCCAGTGCACTTTAAATGATCTCTAGGTTACTTACAATACCTAATGCAATGTAGATGCAATGTAAGTCATAGTTGTATTTTATTGTTGAGGGAATAATGGCAAAAAGTGAAGCCTGTATAGATGCAGTATGGTGGCAACTATTGTAGGGCTAAGTCTGGTTGGTTGAATATGCAGATACAGAAGGCTGAGCCTCAGACCAACCCCAGGGGATGTGGCTGTCACTTCCTGCCCTCTGGAAGGCAGACAGGACTGGTGAAGTCTTCCGAGGACAGTAGTGACCCTGGTGGGTCACCATGAGGGTGCAGGAAGGACGGTAGGAGGAACTCGCCGCCGAGTGACACATGAGGACAGGGAGGTTGCCGTAGCCTTGGTGGACGCGCCGTGAAACCTGCCCTGCAGAAGCGGCGGTCAGAGAAGGGTGCTGGAGAACTGTTCAGGAGACAGACTCAAGGTCCCTATGCTCAGGACTAGAGTGAGCTTGAGGGTGAGGGAGACACTGCGGGTCGGTGTCCTGGCTTGGGAGGTGCTGGGCACAGAGGTGCATGGGACAGGGCCAGGAGCAGCTTCCTGCCTTTGACATGTCAGTGTGGAGGACTGGCTACTTTTCTCAGAAGTGGAACCACACACCATGTGACCTTTGTGCCTGGCTTCTTTCACTTAGCATGATCTTTGCAAGGTCTAACCATGTTGTAGCATGCATCAGAGTGTGATTCCTTTTCACTGTCACTGATTAACTTTCCGTGGTGGGGGCGGGGAGGGATGGAAGAAGGGAAGGAAAAGGGAAATAAAAAGAATTAAGATGTGTTGTGTGTACCAACTTCCAGTGATGAAGGCAATCATTATGTACTACAAACATGCACTAATAATAAAAATTGAAAAACATTCCATAATATAGAAGACCCACATCTTATCTACCCATTCATGTTGATGGATCCTTGGGTTGTTCCTGCTCTTTTGCTATGATGAACAAGGGTGTATATTTATCTTCATATCTCTTGGGTACACACCCAGGAGCACAAATGATAACTATGTTTAATATTTTGAGGAAATGCCAGATTGTTTTTACAAAATGCCCCTCTACCGACATGTTTTGTTTTAAAGTCAATTTGTTTGATATTAGTATAGCAACTCTACTTTCTTCTGGTTATCTCTTACCTTTTAAAAAAGATGATTTGAGGGGCTGGGGATTTAGCTCAGTGGTTAGGCCACCTGCCTTGAAATCGCAAGGATCCAAGTTCAATCCCCGGTACTGGAAAAAAAAATAGAAAAAAAAATAAAAAAGATGATTTGATCGCCAATGCATGGAGCCATAAGTACTACCTGATTTAGTTAGACATGTTGTGATTTTTATAAAAATATCATCATACCTCAAATGTAGCCTACTTGGACTTGCTCTTTTCGTGAGTTGTGCTATTTATAAGACCACCTCTGTTGCTGTACGTAGCCCTAATGAGCTTATGTTCACTGCTGTGTGATATCCCACGGTAAGACCTACCGCTGCCTCTTGGCCCATTCTCCCATCAGTGGACACATGGCATGTTCCCAGTACTTGGTTCTTGCAGTCATTGCTGCTACAAACATTCTTTATTTTTAAAAAAAATTTTTTGAGACAGTGTCTCACTAGGTAGTTCAGGCTGGCTTTGAACTCATTTTGTAGCACAGGCTAGCCTTGAACTCTCAGTGACTCTCCTGCCTCAACCTCCTGAGTGCTGAGATTATAGGCGCGCACCTCCACACCAAGCATGCTATGAACATTCTCATACAGCTTTCCTGGTGTAGCTTTCTCACGTCCTCACAGGGACAGTGGAGTCAGGTGGGCTAGTAACTTGTTAGAAACGCAAATTTTCCATCCCCACCCCAGACCCTTGGATGATTTAACATTGATGCCCTATCTCTGTCTCCTAAGGCCCCAGGTGACTCCCCTGATACAGGGGGAGGCTCTAGGGTGTAAACTAGTGGTGAATTAGTTTTTGGATTGCGGGGCAACTGAACCCCCTCTAGGGTGGTTGGCCCCATCCCCTCCAGTGGGCTTTTCACAGATTCCATGCCCCTCCACCCTGCACTGCCAGCCTATCCCAGGGCTTCTCCATTTACCCCTAGGCAGTGGGTCTGATGGGTCATCCCTACTGGGGGTGGGGAGAGACCGAGGCGGCTCCTCCTGCCCTCCCGGGACAGGCTAACTCACATTAGGAAGCAGTGCCCTCCCGCTGTCCCTGCACGGGCAGTCCCCCTCACTTGTGGTCTGTCCCCACAGGAGCACCTGCACCACCTCCTGGCCCTGGAGCACCATGCCGAGGAGCAGTTCCTGGAGCACTGGCTGAACCCTCACTGCAAGCCCCACTGTGACAGGAACACAGTGCACCCCGTGTAGGGCTGGGGGCCCTGGGTGTGTGTCAGGTCTTCCTTGGTGGGGTGCCTGGCTGGGAGACCCCTGGGACTGGGGTGCTGGGGGACCCGACCTGTGTAGTGGTTGTATAGGTGGGAGTCAGTGAGAGGAGCTTGGGGAGCATAGGGGAGCCTACCGGGTCACCAAGAGATCCCACAAGGGGAAGGATGGGACGGTATTTGCCATGCAGAATAGATGACTATGAAATCTGAAGCTGGATCAGTGAGGCTTGGGTCTCTCCGGCTGTGGTCAGTATCCACCTGACCTGTGGCACCCACCCAGTCATCGCCATAGTCACCAGGACCAGCATCTTTCCTCTCGGGTCTCCTCTCCTTCCCCACAAACTTCCAGCAGCAACTTCGCAGCCTACCTGGCTGGCTGGCTCTTCCTGTCCCCTGCTCCTGTTCAGCATTCCCAGTACACCCCGCACACCCTGTCCCTAGATGAGGACGATAGCTTCTCCCTGACTGTCACCACCTTCTTCCCCCCTTTTCAAATCTAATTACTCAAGGTAGCAAAATCTCATTAGAGCTTAACCCCAGTGAATTTCATTCCTCCTCTGCAATTCTCATGGACCAAGCAGGACAGGACATAATCAGTGCTTTATCCTCTGTGCTGCAGGGCGATCTTATATCTCTGTTGGTCTTTGTGCTGCTGTGAATTGGAACAGGGACAGTGCCTTAGAGCAGCATGCTGTAATTTCCAGGATGCTATGACCTCCCTGGACCTCATAGCACCCTGCATCATTGAGGGCATGTATCTTAACCCCATTTTCTGGAGGAGCTAGTAGGTCACGATGAAGGCAGAGGTTGGTATGTCAGGCTCCTGACAACTCCAAGTCCTGTGAGCTTTCTGTGGCTACTCTGCTTGGTCCTACAAGTGTGTGGAGCCCTTGTGAGAAGCTTTCTCAGAGAGTTAGAGGCTGCTCCGCTGACAGTGGACTAGAAGTTCTTACATGCAAGGCTCATGAGGCGGAGGTGACATCATTCTTTGGGTCCCTCCAGCCTGGAGTGCTGATCAAATCAGTGTTTGTTTGCACCTGGGACCAGCTCCTGACTCCCAGGCTGTTGCCTTCTCCTGTACCGAGGACCTTTGTCATCTTCCATCACCGGAAGCTCTCGCTTGGCTGCTTCTGGAAAGCAGGTCCGTGGAGTAGTTAGGTGCTCAGACTTTGGGACTGACCAGAACTGAGCTCCACTTTCTCTGTCTCTTCCCTGTGACCTTGGGGACATTGCCTCACCTCTACCGGTCTCCACTTCTGCATCGTAAAATGGGGTAAGGCTGTCTGTGGTGACAGGGCTTAGTAAAAGGCTCCTTGAATGGAAGTGCTTATTGCTGTAGGGCAAGGTGGGCAAGGGGAGTTTTGTGGTAGCGAGACCCCTCCACAAGGCTCCTCAGAAGCCTCACTCCATACAGTTTCCCTTACACAAGAAGGACTCAACAGCTGAAGTGATGTGGCAGCTTGGAATTCAGAGTCAAATGGCTTCCAGGTCCCCTTAAGGCATTAGCGGAATGGGGAGGGAAATGCTTGACTTCTCTTTCCCCAACTGTAAAATGACAATCTGCTCCTCTTCCTCCTTCACCATCCTAACAGAATTTTCTTGATTTTTTTCTAGCCAGTTTTGATAAGCAGTCACCTGGATGATGCTAAAACAGGACAAGGCTCCTTCTTCCATTTGAATTTAAACTGTGGAAACAGACGTCTTCAGACTTCATGAAGTTGTGGCCCTCGTGGGTGTGCGAAGGTTGCCTCAGGGATGGATGGCAAATATATATTCTGCTTCATTTTATTAACCTGCATAAATCATTAAAACAAACAGCTTAAAGTACATAGCCCCAAAGGGTTTCCTACCAGTTTGTAAGTGTGGGCACAATCTGAGTCTTTCCTGGGAGTGGGGGAGCTGGGAGCCCCAAGGACTTTGGAGGAGTCTTGCTCAGACAAGTGAGGCACCCTACTTGGGGCTGCTGAGATTTGGTTATCTATTTTTTCTTCTCATTTTTGCACTAATAAACGATGTTGTTAAATCTGCTTTCTGAGGTGCCTCTTTCCTTTCCTTATTGGAAGAAGATGGAGATTTCCCTCTCATTTGTCTTTGTGAATCCAATATAGGAAAAAAGACTGTTCTCTGCATACATGAGTGGATGAAGATATGGACACCCAACAACTGGGCACAAGGGCCATCTTTTCTGTGTAAAGAGAAGATTTGTTTATACCTATCTCTCAGAAAGGATCATAACTCAATACTAGATGCACACCTAGTCTTCTGGCAAAGGAAACATTTCCTGGGGACAGTGAGGTGTTACTCCTATATCCCATCACTTTAACCATCCCTCAGTCCCAGAGTCAGAGATTGAACAATCAAGGACCAACTTCCTTTGTTACTTTCTAGTCGCTGGACAAAATACCTGACACCCATAACGTAAAGGAGAAAAGGTTTATTTTTGGCTCTTGGATACAGCCCATAATCAGCTGGCTGGCTCCAAAGTAGAGATGGTGTGGTAGAAAGGCCTGAGTAGAGGAAAGCTGCTCACCTCAGGGCAGTCAGGAAGCAGAGAGGGAGGGGAGGAGCTGGGGATGGAGATATACACTTCCGGGTCACACCCCCAGCGACCCTGCCTCCTCCAATCAGGCCCCATCTTGTTCATATAACTTTTTTTTTTTTGGTACTGGGCATCGAACTCGGGTTCTTGTGCTTGCAAGGCAAGCCGCGGAACCACTGAGCTAAATCCCCGGCACAGGCCCCATCTTGTAACAGGAAGTCAGCTCCATGGCCCCCACGATCCAATCACCTTCCCAAAGCCCCACCTATGAGTGCATGAGGCTTTGGGTGGGGGGAACCTTCTCCATGGAAACCATGACAGCAGAGACTGGGAAGGCCAAGACAGGTGGGCTGAATGGTTCCAGGAAAAGGAAAATCTGGCGGCCTTCAAAAAAGTAAGCGAGTGTGCCCACCCCAAGAGGAAGGCCTGGCCAAGGAGGCTGGGTGAGTTTGTCTAGGGAGAAAGTTACCAAACCTCTCGATCATAAGGTGAAAGAAATGTGAAGGTTGTCAAAATAAAAATGGAGTTGCTTGTGTCAACCCTACCAAAAAAAAAAGGAAATAAAGCTGGGAGGATATGATAGCAAACCCTGTACTAGAATTTTAACATACAATACCTCATTTAAACACCGGGCCTACTACTGTGCATTGGATATGGGTAACTTCTCCAATTTATAGATGAGGAAAATGAGATTTATGGAATTTAGGTAGTATATTCCTTTTTTTTTTAATCTCAGCCCTACCAAATTATTTAACACAAATTAATAATCTTACATTCTGTATGTCAGCAGTCCAATACAGAAGTCCTCATGTGACTAAAATCAGGGTGTCAGTAGGCTGTGTTCCTTTCTGGAGGCTCTGGGGGTGAATATTTCCTTGTCTTCCTTGCTTCCAGACCTGCCTGCCTTTCTTAGCTTGATGCCATTTCTTCCATCTCCAAGGCCAGCAGTGGTGAGCCGAGTCTTTCTTACACCACATCACTCTGACTTTCTTTTCTGCCTCCCTCTTCCATGTTTAAAGACTGCTGGGATCACACTGGGCCCACTCAGCCATCCTAGGATAATCTCCTGTCTTAAGGTCAGTTGACTGGCAGCTTTAATTCCACCCACAACTTTAGCTTCTCATTGCCACAGATGCTAACATTATGTACAGGTTCCAGATTAGAACATGGACATCTTTGAGGTGGCCATGATTTTGTCTACTTTAATTAGTCCACACAGCTGCCGGGTGGAGGAGCTGGGATTTGAGTTTAGGAAGCCCTTCATAGTCTGAGTCCCCTGACCACTACACCTCTGCCCTAAACTTGATAGCTTTCTGCCTTGAATAAGTAGTTTTCTAAGCTGAGCATGTGTCTTTATTGGGGTACAACTGCACCCCTCATCTACTGAGGCATCATTTGAGTGCCAGACATGTCCCATGGACACTGACGCTTAACACAGGAAATGCCCAGGGTATGTGAAGCAGAGGTGGACAGAAGGCTCCTGCTCAGGCCACCTCCTCACCTGGCTCCTGGGGTTTTCTGCAGGAAGTAGGGGCTAGCTTTGGGCATGAGGGACAGAACGCAAGTGAACTGGTCTAGCAGGTCCCACATGGAGAAAAGCAGAGGAAAAATACAGCAGGCTCAAGGGGAGCAGGGCCTGGCATCCAGTTGAAGGAAGAGCATCCTTGAGGTGCTAGGGAGCCTGACTATGGCTCAGACATCAGGAGCAAAAGGTCCCCATAGCAAGAGAGAAAATTCTTGCTCACATAAAGCCTGCTTTTCAGCCTCGTGCCCCATTTCCCAGAACACCTTGCAGCTCACAGTGAGAGCGCTGCTGCTCTCCCTTCCCCTCACTCATAATGGCTTCCCTCTTCAGGAGGGTGAGAGTGAGGGTGCCAGAGGCCACCTTGACAGCAGCAGGGAGCAGGGTTCAGGGTCCACCCTTGGAGCTGGGCTGTCTGCATTTACTTCCTGGCTGCACCGTAGACTTACTGTGTGCCCTTGGGCAAGTTGATTAACCTCTCTGGGCCCCAGTTCCTTTCTTTGTAAAGTGAAAATAATGATAGTTCTTAGCTCAACATGTTTTATCATCCCCTAAATCAGCTTTCACTAAAAAATTCTTGGGTATTATTTTATTAATCCAGATGATATCCTTCCATTAAAAACATCTTTTTATTTAGGGAAGAGGAAGAGATTGTTTGGGGAACTGAGTAGAGAATGGCCGCCTCCCTACATGAGAGCTGCCATAGTTTTGAATTTCTGTATCTATGAACATCAACTATCTCTGCATTTATTTAGGCCATTTTCAAAGGTCTGTGCTTAAAATCTTATAATTTTCTTTGTAAAGACGATGCATACCTTTGCTAATATTCATCCCACATACTTATTTACAGAAGTTTTAGAACTATAACTAGAATTGCCAGGGCGTGGCAGCGCATGCCTGTAATCCCCACACGTGAGAGGCCAAGGCAGGAGAATCGTGATGAGTTCAAGGCCAGCCTGGACTGCAAAGTGAGACTCTTGTCTCAGAAACAACAAAACCAAAAATTACAACTAGAATTGTCTTAAAATCGTATTTTCTAGTTTGTTATCCTGGTGTGTATGGGAATAATGTTGGATTTTTTACATGTTGATTGTACTCAGAGGCATCTGTCTTAAGAAGGTTAACGGCACACCAGGAACAGCCACAGGAGGGTGTCTCCAGTGAGAGGCAGCTCCAGGCCTTTGTACTACTTGTAGGAGAGGAATTCAGGGCCCTGGAGCGCGGGTTCAGTGGCTGATTCGCCACACACTTTCCGAAACAGGCAGAGGGCACTGACTGATGGCCTGGGTTTGGGATCAGAATGGGTGGTCATAAGGATTTCTGGGGGAAATCGCATTTCATATTTCATTTAACCAGCACTGAGCACCTTCTGAGGAAGCATCCTTGCTCTTCCTAAAGATTCAAAGATGAATAAACTTACTGTGCTGTGGGGGAGACAGTTACATAAGCAGGTGGTGGCACTTTGGATGAGTAGTTGGCAAACTGCTGTAAAGGTCAGGATACTAAAGTATTGTTGTCTTGAGGGCCACCAGGTCTTGCTCTGCTGCTGTATCTGTAAAGCAGCCCTGCACAATAGGTAAACAAATGCGTGTGGCTGGATTTGGTCCTGGGGCAAGGTGATGAAAGGAACCTAGTTTGAATGGAGGCAGATTCTAATGGCAATTTAGCCCATTCTGAGCGGCGTGACTAGATGTGTGACTTAATCTCTCCCAGCCTGTTGACCTCCCCATCTTCATTTAGGATACTGCTGTTGGCCTCTGGATTGCTGGGATTATTGCATGAGACAACTACTAATAATTTATTGATCATTTAAAATGTACCAGGCACCCAAATGTCCATCACCTGATGCATGGATAAAGAAGATTTTTTTTTTTCCTGGTATGGGGATCCAACTTGGGACCTTGCAGTTGCAAGGCAGGCGGCAGAACCACTAAACTAAATCCCCGGCCCCAGTGTGTGTGTGTGTGTGTGTGTGTGTGTGTGTGTGTGTGTTTATACAATAGAACACTACTCTGCCATAAAGAAGGATAAGCTTGAGACATTTCTAGCTAAATGGACGCACCTCGAGACCATAAAGTGAAATAAATTCGACACACACGTGTAAATATCGAATGGTTTCTCTGCTATGAGAAATCGAAAGTGTAACTCAGGACCAAGATGTATAATAGATACTGGGAAATGGGAAGAAAATGTTCAAATGAGGAGGAGTAAGGGAGAGGGGAGGGGCAAAGGAAAGAAGGAAAAAAAGAATGGGAGGGGGAAAAATGGAAACAAGGCCTGTGTAGATAAAGAGGGGAGGGAGCTGAAGCGAGGGGAACGGGAAGAAAAGAAGAAGCAAGATATATCATGTACAGGTACAAATTCCCTATGATGAATGTTATTATATATCTAAAATGCACCAGTAAAATTAAAAAAATCTGTGCAGACACACACACACAAAACAGTACTAGGTCCCTTGCTGAATGCCTTCACTGTATTAACTCATTTAATTTTCACACTCATGATGCAAGGTGCATACAATTATTAGTCTCATTTTACAGAGGTGGCTCTTTGAGGTTAACGGTGTCCGGCGTCATAAAGTATTCAAGTTAGAAGGTGACTTGACCCAGAATGCACGTGCATGAGTCCCATATTGTGTTTCTTCCCCAAGGCCCACGGAAAGCGCTGGCACGCAGGAGCTGGTCAGCAGGCTTTCCCCTGCTGGAGTGGCAGCCTGGCCACACACTCAGTCTCTGTGTATTTTATCTCCACACCTAGCCCAGTGCCAGGCATATGGGTGGCCCCAGTGAATTTCTATTTGCCCAATTTCGAATTCTCTCCCTGTCTTGCCTGTCCCACC